TATATATATATATATATATATTTCCATTTCTTCCCATCACGTCCCATGCATGAACACAGGCAGAAGAGAAGGGGGTGAGGCCAAATATATATATATAACTTTTTCCCTAATATTTATGGAGTCAGTACAGGTTTGAAAACTTTCCTAAAAACATTCAATATTGTGTCCAGAAATGTTCAAATGTTTATTCTATCCACTAATTTATTCTCTCACTCTCCCACTCTTTAGATCCATTTCCTGACCTATTGCTTTTGTTGATAATTTGGTGACTTTTTCTTTATTCCATTTCCTTGGTTTTAATTATACGTTCAATAATATATAAAATAAATAAATAAATCCAACACCCTGCATGGAAATGTCACAAAATTATATTTATTTGACTTCATTTCAGAGACTAAAACATGAATATACTTTTGTTATTTCAACATTGTTCTTTTACACCAAAAGTAAAGGGAAGAGATTTTAGTCCCGTAAATTAGCCGACGTAATTAGACCACATAACCATTACTCAGATTTTTTGACAACTTCCTTTCTAATGCTATTAAAACTTTTGCTTTTCTCAGCAAATCAAAAAAAAAAAAGTTACAATAACCCTAAACAGCACCTTCTCAAGCCATAAAAGTTCTCTCATTTTTGCTCTCTCGGCAAACCTCTGAACATTTCTGCCACACTTGAGCTTGTCAGCATTTCGGATGCTGCAGCCCTGAATGATCCCGAAAGGACCAAAATGCTGGACTTGCAGAAACAGATCAATGCGGTCTGTCCACACCCGAGACCCTATTTTAAAGATTTAGTGCCGATTTTCACGTTACCTCAGACTCCGTGAGCAACCTTATAGTCCCCAGGAGCTGAAACCCAGGGCTCGACTCTTTCCGACACACCGAGACATTAAATGCCATCGCGGCAGTTCACACTGACACAATAACACACGTGAATCATGGAACCGTGACACGTTTAAGCACTTTGAGGGACACGAGCACACAATGGTCCAAAATGAAACCTGACAAATGTTACACCACGGAGCTGAGTCTAATCAATGTGAATTGAATTAAACATAGGTAATGCATCTCCATCGCCGTTTTCATCTGTCCAATAAGTTTCCCAAACTGATCTTGAGCAATCGTTCTCATGGCTCCGTGAAGGGGGGTTTAAACTATTTATTTTATCTTCTTCACTGACATCAAATGATACAAACAGAAAGAGTGGTGTACAAAAAAATAATCTTTTATTGCAGCAGGATAAGTATAATTGTTTCAAACAAAGTGAAAATGACTGGTGCCCATTAACAATACCCAGCGTCTAGGTACTTTTCATTAGTAATCGTTGTCTTCACGGTTTTCTGGGTTATAAATGTGACGTGACACAGATTTCCTTGCGCTAAATCAAAGACGATTACTAAAAACAGAATTAGGTTTCAATAGGGAATTGAAATTTGAGAATGTGGTTGATCAGTTAAATAGTAACGAGGGGAAGGAGAAGGTTTTTTGTTTTATGAAAAATACTGAACTCGTCGGGAGAATTTGAGGAATAAGTAGTAGGATCCAACAGATGGCAGTAGCGCAACAATAATGAATGCAAGCTGCCTTAAAATTTAAAGAAGAAGGAGAAGGAGAAGAAGAATCTTTGCTTTGAAACAAAAGAATCTACCATTCAGTAAGTCAAATATGTGTTGACTTTTTGGAAATGATTAGAAGTGTTTGAAACAGTAGCAGTCCCACATTACAAATGAGCTCAATCTCCAATTTTGGTAGCAAATCAGAAGTAGCTAGTAGCATAATAGCTGCTAACACATTGAATATGTTAGCAACAGCTAGCTGATGCTAAGTTAATGTGACAGAATCATTATAAGGAAGGGGCAGACGGGATGCTTAAAATAACAGTTTAATCAGTAATGTGGCTCATTCTGTGAAAAAGCAGACAGGTGGCTCTTATTTAAGCCAACTTTATTCATAAGCACAGATGACCGCATGTTATAGAAAAGCATTAAAACACAAACACAAGATGACACACAGAATATCTTAGAAAGCAACTTGAACAATGAAAATTAGCAGTCTTATGTCTACTTATGGATGAAGGTGGCCAGTGTTGTACATGTTTGCTATAGAGAATTCCCCTCTGCAAATCTGAGTAAAATGGGTCATTGCAGAAGAGCCGAGCACTTTCACAAACAATCGATTGGCCGGGGGAAAATCTACGTGCAGGAAATGACGAGCTGCTCAGCCTAAATGTTCTCAGATGCTTTAAGATGGAAAGCAAAACTAAAAAAAAGCTGCAGAAGAAAACCAAAAACTACACTACACTTCGAATGGATTTAAGGATACCCAAGGTGCCAGTGGTTATGCAACTCAAAATTAGCTCAGTGATTCAAGGGGATGTTAAATAGTCAAGCATTGTTTAGATTATATTACAATGAACGTTTTGTATTTACAAAAAAGAAAAACAGACAGAGCCTTTCCCAACTGACTGCAGAGGGATATAAATTTAGATAAATATTCATTCTGTTTTTCCTTGGAACAGTATTAGTATTCCTAATGCATTTGTATGTAAGAGAATAAAAAGCATTATACAGATTTTGCTCTCTACTGACTTTTTTAAAACACACTGGTATAAAATCGAACCCAACTGTTTCTGGCTGCTCATCTGATCTTTCACTTATAGTCAGAGGAATCATTAAAATGATCAATGATGCTGTGGGCCTGTTTCTCTTCCAAAGACCCAGGGATTTTCATTAGAGTGCACGAGGTCATGAGTTCTTTGAAATAGATAACCCAGCGGCCTCCAACAAAAAACACCGCATAACACGTCATCAAATTTGACCAAATAAACAGATCTCCTTTACCAAAGACAAAATCAGCCTCCTTTCCAGATGTAAATTAAAAAGAAAACGTGTGGGATGAACTAAAGCGAAGACCCAGTACTCTTGATGATTGAGGTTTTGCAAAGAGGAATTCTCAAATTTTCCTTGTTTTCTCTGTAAAACACCATAAATGTTGAGTTAGCGCTTTCCTAAAGACAAAAGTGATGCTGTCGAGATGTATGGGATAAAACGTTCTTTTTTTTTTTTTTTTTTAAAAAGAAAAAGGAAAAAAAATCTGTGTTAAATTATGCTACTGCAATAAAAGATTAATTTAATTCTAAGGCCTTGCTCTAAAAAGTGTTGCCAATAATTCTGGAGAGTGCTATAAACTTTATGGGACTCTTTTTTCCAAGAGAAAAATGGGATAATCAAAAAAAAAAAGGAGCCAGATATTCAGAAACCCCCTCATTCATTATACCTGAAATAAATCATAAAAATAGCATATCAAGCTAAAACTGTAGAGCTCAGCACTTCTACAATAAAAAGAAAAGAAGAGGGAAAGCCTTTAAACCACATTCTCCAATGAGTCAGTCCTCGTCAGCTTGTCAGAAGGCGTTAATGGTTTCCGGGTTTCAGTGTCGCAGAGCTCTGGAGTGCGCCCTAGTTTAACAAAGCAACGCCACTTTGCCAATTAAAATGTGCCAATTATCTCAAGATCCTGTGATGGCTCTTCAGCAAACACTCATCACCATGGAAAAGACATTTTGGTAATTCATAAATGAGCATTCTGACATCGCCTCAAACACGCAAAAATGTCCAAACTAAATGGTTCTAATGTAAATTGACAATTAAACGTGACCTAATACAGAGCTAAAAAGTTAGAATCTGTCAATTTAAGCGTTTAAATTGACGGTATGCTTTGGGAAACAGCAGCTTTTCATCTAGCACGACCGAACGAGCCGCCTGACGAACTTGGACTTTGAGCGGTGCCTCTTCGGGCAGCGGCAGACTCACCTCGTCCACGTTCTCGAAGGCGTTGATGACATCATAGGGCAGGCAGGAGAGCAGGTCGATCACAAACCAGGTCTTCAGGTAGTTCATGCGGATCAGCTTGGGGTCGGAGATGACCTCGCCGGCGGGCCCCACGAACGTGGTGTGAAAGTTCAAGACGATGTCCACCAGGAAGATGACGTCCACGATGCTGTCCACCACCAGCCAAGCCACGTTGTTCTGCTTCGTCTTGAAGGAGACGTTGTAGGGCACCATGATAGCCGTGTAAAAGGTGAGGATGAGGATGACCCAGTCCCATGTGGTCTTAAAGAGGCAGTAGTGCAGGATGATGTGAGGAGGGGTTTTGGGGGTCTCCTGTTTGTACTGAGGTAGGATGTCAGAGCCAAGTTGCAGCACCTGCAGGGCGCAACGGGGAAGACGTCAGCGAAAAATACACACATTTGTCCCTCTTGACTAACATGTGCTGCACCTCAGGGTTGAAGCCGGTCTTACCTCAGCGAGACGAGAGTGCTTATGGACATTCTCTCCTTTATGAACTGTAGGTTGTAGCTGCTGTAAGACTCCCCTGCTGCTTGTTAGCGCTCGAGTCAATCGGGCAAACTTCCCCCAACCTGGAGTTCACACAAACAGATTGTAGGTACTGCATGTTTCCAAGAACATGTCTTTGAGTCCTAGGAGTCCTGGCTTTGAGAAGCCTCTCTTTCTACTGCAGAAATCCTACTCACCAATAACCGGTACAAAGCATTAGTAGCGTCTCTTTTCCCCATTTTCACGTCCAGGCAACAGATCTCTGTCTGTTTCCAGACAGGTTAGCAAAGCATAAAAAGTTCTTTTCATTAACATTACCAGTCCTCTAGGAGGTCTACATTTTGTACAGTTTCCCCCTGATGTTTGAGATTATTACTAAAAGCTAACAGTGATTTGGCCTCTCTTGTGGCTGCACCAAATTTCTAGTGCAGTTTACAGATCCACATTCAAGCTACCTGTACTCTAATCACTTCGAACTTTCTCAGTTCTTTAGGGTTCAATTTGAGTGCATCTATTTATTTTATCATATTTCATGTATTCCTTTTCATTTCCTGTTTTATATTTCCCCGTCTTTGTAAAACCTTAGGTACCAATTATAGCAATTCCAAGTCTTTCAGAATGTAATAAGCTACAGCATGGAAAACTTACCTTGCTAGACAGTCATTAAATATTAGTATTAAAACCAGGAGAAACGTCACGTCAGTGAGAGAGTAGCCGCTGCAAAATGGATTTTAAAGCAAAGATGAAGTGACTCTGAACCTGATGATTTCAATTCCAGGTATTTCGTATTAGTAATGTTTCGGTATAAATGTTAATGTGTTTGTTTTGTTTTGTTTTTTTCTTATGTCATTCTGAAGTTGATTGCTGAACAAATGTGAACTGTTGGGTCTAACCTTTGGAAGAATCGTCCTCAATGGGCTGCTTGAAGGCTGTGATGTCGCTGAACGTACAGAGGAACAGAACCACTTTCTCTTGTTCGTTTCGAATGGGAGCAATTTTCACAAAAAACCAAACCGGCGTCCCTGAAAACAGAACACAAGTTTAGCTGCGTCATCGGCTTTCGTTAGGAGGAAATAGCCCTTTATTAGAAAATAACACAACTTGTTGAATGAGTGTAAAAAGAAATTATAATCTTTAATTCAAAGTTCATTAAAGTTTTGAGTCAAATTTTCTCATTTTGTTTACTTTACAAATGAAAAGTGATGTCAGAATAAAACTATTTGCTTTCACTTCAAGCTAATTTAAAATAATAAAATAAAGGTAATTATTTATAGATCAAGTGTAGAGTGGTTGAATCATCAGAGTAAACAACTCCGGTTAGATCAACTTATAGAAACTTACATTTTTATCTTCAGACAAGGAAAAACTCTGAAAATTTTGATATACTTTATATACTCCTTTTTCTTCTCATAATTAACCAGACTTAGAAAACACTTTTAAAATATTTATGTTTTTCTAATAGACTTGGGTTTAATTAATTTCAATCAGATTGTTAAATAAATTAGCCATGAAAAATGTTTATCTTCAAATAAGCAACATCAGATCTGCCTACATTCACTCTGCACAAGTTAAACCACTAAGTAAGACATAAATGCACTGTGAAGTTTTTGTGATAGTTTTGTCAAATCAAAGGGGAAAAAGTTAATAAAACAACAAACCTGGGAGAAGATACTTTGGTTCATTCAGGAAGTATTTTTAAAAACAGTTTAAACTAATTTAAGTCAACTCATTCCACAGATTTCTTAATTATTAAAGAAATCCATGTAACTTTGGAAGTATTTCAAATTTATATCAAGAAATATTTATTATCTGATTTTATATGCAAGCAATAAAAAGCTTAAAAGACTATTTTCATTCATCGGTTTTACAGTGGGCCTCGGTTCGCCTTTTGTATCACAGTTTTTTCCATTACATAATAGGGACTGTAATATTGTATTAGTCTACACCTGCATGTTGAAACAAACAGCACCATATTCTCCTTTGGAAGGTTTTCCAGTTCCAGTCTGGCTCTTAAACCAATTAGCACATTTCTACAGACGCCGAAATGTTCTGGGCTGCCTTTGAACTCCGGCTCCACGCCGCACAAGCCCCGAGTGCATTTGCATTACAAAGGAGAGGAGACTCTCGTTTCTCTCTTCCTTCACATTTGCCACCGCTACTTACTGTTCTTCTTGTACATCAGGATTTCAAATGAGTTCATCTCATAATTCTCAAACGTTAGTCGGACTTTTTCCGTCGTGTCCTTGTCGGTGAGCTCCCCGTACATAAAGCTGAAAAGAGGAGAAAGAGAGGGGAGGGGGGGATAAAAAAAAAATAGTACATTCAGTGGACACCTCTATGAAGATTGCTGAGCAAAGCTAAATTTATGACTGTATCTAAGAAGCTTTTTTTGTTTGTTTGTTTGTTTGTATATGTCAGTTTGGAAAAAGGATGTGAGGGGATGAGCTATTTCTCTTCTTTTTTTCTTTTTTTTTTCTCTTTGTCCACAAATGACAAAATGCAGATCAGGTTCCTAATCAGCTCTGCTGTCAATTCCAGACAAGTGCCACCTTCAAGCTGCCAAATTTGCCCTCATCAATTCCAAATGAGCAGCTGCTTCTGCCATCATTATTGTTGTAAACTCTCTGGAGACTCTCTGCTAAATGTAAAATGTCTTTGCATCATGCAAAATATGCCACATTTTCAGTTGTCATAGGCTATTACTGGAAGCTACTGGTTTCAGTGTGTTTGCACATTTCCCCCCCCCTATTTGTCAGTTAACCATAAACATCAAAAAGTTTAAAAGTTGCGCATTGAGGTCACTTAGAGTCAGTTTTCAGGTTCACCCTCCAGGCATAAAGCTGGAACAAATGTTTGAATCTTATACAATAAACACATTTTTATTAAATGAAGTGAAATCTTGTTACACATTGGTTTTATCTTTTATTTTCTCTGTCTTCTGTTTCTTTTTTAACATTATAAAATAAGCCAGTACATATAATGTAGTATGAGTCACATTCAGTGAGTCTTAAAAATCATTTTTTGTTTTTAGCTATGTTTTCTATCAACGTTTTGCACAGCCTGGCGTAGGACAGGTGGTGAAGGGAAACCAGAAATCAGGAAAGTTCCTTCACTCAGTTTAATGAAACCATATCAAGCAGTGTCTGTGCAGCAGATTGAATGTACATGAAGAAAAATGACACTTCTGGTTTTACAATGATTTATTCAGGAGAATATTAATTGTGAGAGTGAGAATTGGTCAAACTGCTTAACTTCTCTAAGTGTGAACTAATCACTCTACTAATCTACTGATCTGAGAGAACAGATTCTTCTACTTATATTTCAACACCTGTTAGTTACGGGCTGCTGAAAACCTTGAAGCTAAAAAGAAAGTAAAAAATCATTAATGCACTGTGTAGTGAAATCTTCCAGCTACCAGTTTGTAAATTAAGCAAATAAAACAAAAAAAATTAAATAAACAATCAGAAGGCTACATGCACTCATAATCAATATTAATGTCTACTTAAGTCTGGGCTTAAAATGATGTTTTGAACTATTATTTTCCAACAATGTTTGAAAGAACATTTTGAGGAGGCAAGATGAGGTTTTCAAATTTAGCTAAACGATCAATTGTCAAGTATCATGCTAAGAGTGTGTTTCACTATTTGTACTCCCTACTTATTCAACAGCTGGTTGATTAAAACATTTATACAGCTTAGTGTTCCAACAGGACAATGTTGTGAAAACCTGTTTAAAAGTTGAAAAAAAGATCAGGAAAAAAAAAAAACATTCAAAATAAAGCCATTAAACCAATCCATTTAAATGAGCTTCTGATTAGTGGAGCTCTCGACTATCCAGCCAGAACCTTGATGGCAACAGGAAGCGTACATTTTCTTTGCAACTTCCAAAAGTAACTGGGCGTGAAAGAGTGGAACCGCATTTACTTTAGCTGCGTTGTAATTCACTTGCTTTGTCAATGAGCTCAGGCCAAGACAACAGACCATCTCTCAAATCTGAAATGTCTTGAAAACCAAACAGCAGACAATTTTAATACAACCACCAGAGTTTAAAGGTAGGAAACCAAAGCGGTTGCCTGTTCCATCTGCAGACTAGACTGAATTTATACATAGACACAAACTCACTGAAATGTACCACGAAACAATAAAACGGTAAGCCATCTGTGATGTCTAATTGACAAAACGAGCCTCTTGAATAGGAGTTTGACCTAAAGATTGTCTTCAGCCACGCTCCAGAGGGATTCATCTCACTTCGTGTGTTAGTGCTGCCTTAAGCAGCAGTTTCCAGCATGATCTAAATATATCTTGTTATGAAATACAAAAGGAGGCCCGTATCTAATAAGACAGTCTGACGCTTTCCGAGTGGCGCTTGATGTAATAACGCTGATTAATGTCGCCCCTTTCTCGTTCTGTCTTTTCTTTGCCGGAAGGAGAGCGACTTTCTTCAAAGAAAAAACATATTGCATAATAATTTCTGAAACAACTTCCTTGTCATGTGTGGAAATTCCCAAAGGTCTGCCACGGTGTTTACAAGATCCAGCACGGATATAAAAAAAATAAAAAAAATAAAAAAACATCACGGATACACAGGAAGATCAGTTAAGATGGAAATAGCCTCTTTGATCTCAACACATCTGCAGCACATGGGGAGTTAGGTTTTGGACTCAGGGAGGAGGAGTATACATTTAATGTTTGCATCATGCTCAAAAACATCCAAGAGCCACAATGAGTGAATATTTTATGGCCGCACAACGAGGCTCAAAAAGATGGCTTCAGACAGAAGCTAAAAAGGACTCAAAGACCATGTGATGATTAAAGCCAGAGGGAAATGTTTGAAGAGAAATGAAAGCAAAAAGTGAAACTTTCTGAAAGACTGTTTATTAAAAACTAATTAAAGGTTGGAAATTCCACAAATTATGCATATCATTCAAAATCTACCTCTACAGAGTTTCATTTGGAGAATTCGTACTCAAAACTTCACAAAAGCATGTGAAGCCGAAGGAAAAGAAATGACAATCCGGGTGCAAACAATATAGCTAATATAACTGTGTATGACACTATAATGGCTTCTTCTAGTGTGTGTAAATGTCTAGTTTTGAAGAGAACAATAAAATGTGCCTAGAAACATTATTAGTCTCATTATTCTGAAATTAAGCCAACAGATGCACTTTTTTCACCTCTGATACTGATACTGATACAGATATCTGAAGTTTGGCATCGTCCGATACCGATCCAATAAAACATCGCTAAATTGACTTTAAATGTTTCTTTAAAATAAAACAAAATACTGAACTATGTACTGAAGTACAAATTTATTTGAGAAGTCTACACTTTTACAGGCACACTAAAATATACCAATGTCAGTAGAACATTGGTATTTTAAGTGGAACAGCCAATGTCAAATAAATAAACTGACAAAAACAACAGGCTGACTATCTTGGTCAAAGATATAAAAAATAAACTGCAACAAAACTTTCTTTCAAATAGTTCAGCAAGTGCAATTAGGAATTCTCAATATATTGTAAAATAAATAAAGCATTCAGAGCACAAAGAATAGACTTAGTCTCAATTCACTCACCCTTATGGTTCGGGCACTTTTTCACCGATACCCGATGTAGAATTTTTTTCAATATCAGGACCAATACAGATATTAATGTTGGGTTATTGGTAACCATAACAGACAATGTAAATATCTGGTCTCATCTCTATTTGTCCCAAAATCAGAGGGTTATCTCTGGAAAACAAGATGCAGCAAGAACAGTGAATGCTCATTAACTGTACCCAAGTTCGGCACTGGTTGCTGGGAGACGGAGAAGACATCCAGGATCTCTGCAGGGGTTTTTTTTTTTCTTTTTTCCCAAGGTGCAGACTGGAATCCAGGATGTATCTGTCAAGCTGTCAGATGAAAGCTTAAAGTGCTACTTTAACTGACAGGATGAGGAGGACAAACGTGCAGCTGCTCAGAGGATGCAGGGTCATAATAACTTGCACTTTTGAGAGCATAGGCTCACGGAGGAGCCGACGCATAAAGGGAGCAATCTTACAGTCAATTAGCATGTTGGGTAGAGGTATGCAAAAAATCTATGGGGTGTTTGCAATGACGTCACAAAATGTACCCACAGCCCATCGTGTCAGAGGACAAGATGTAAGTGTATCAGTAGCAGCCAATTTTGAAGTATCACAAAACTGTGAGAATCAAAAGCGGTTATTAGGAGAGGAGAGCACAGCTCAGAAGCACAATGTGGTGTCTCATTGCTAGCGATATCTTCTTATCACTCTGTTCTGTACGTCCTTCAGAGAGGCGGACAAGTAGTTAACTGATGCGCTAATGCTATCACCCTATTTTAACACCGTGTCTTTTTAAGACGGCCACAGAAAACAGGCGCCATGTGGCAACGACTCCCTCAGGATTGTGAAGTTTAGCTCGCTAGCATGACTGACTCTAGCATTAGCACATGTTGCTCAACTAAACAAGGAACAAAAAGTCAATGAAACTGTCAGAAACTCTAAAAGTCTAACAGGATAACATTGTAAACTATTTCCCTGATAATCCCAGCCGTCGTCGTTCATACTCATTTGACCAAAAAAAGAATAAAACTAAAAATTACCACCTCGATTTAACAGAGACTCCTATTGGATATCTTCTAGAATAATTGATATGTTGCCATTTATTCCAGTGGCACTGAATAAGTGAAATCAAATGATAAAAAGGAACAGATGAACTAAGAGCTATGTTCAATGTGCAAAGTAAGCGGATTTCCAAACACACAATGCCTGAATCAAAAGGCTGAATTACAGCAGGCTGTGCAAAGGCCTCATCAGTAATCATTCATTTGCTTCATGTGTGTTGCTGCAGAGTGCAGGATTTGCACTAACTTTAGAGTTCATATTTCTAGACTAAAATTATTTAGAAAGCTTGTAGTGAATATTGCACTTCTTTTGCTGGGGCCTGTTGTAAATTAAACAATTTCGGAAAGTAAAAGGCCTTGTCAACTGGTCAATAAATAATCCAGCAAAGTCAACAGTGTTAGCAGTATTCCTGCTAAGGTTTTTTTTGGTTTGTTTGTTTTATACGTTTCATGACTTTTTTTCTGGTTTTTCTCTTGGTCTATATCACCTCTCTTCTGCTCTCCAGCTAAATATCTCCATCTCTTGTTTCTGTTTCCTGTCGTTCCCCTTCGGTGTCCTCACTTACCCTCGCTGTATCCCCTGCTTGCCATGTCACCACCGCCTACTCGTGGCTCAGGACCTGCATATGTTTCCCTAATCACTCCTCACTCTATCATTTATTATCATTGTTCGGTGCTGAATCCTCACTCCTGTCTGTCTACATGCGCCATTCTTGTTTGGAGATTGTCTTTCGGATTTGCAGTTTTGTTTTTCTTTGTTTTTGTCTCTGGTCGCCCGGTACAAGTCAT